GGAAGGAAGGAAGGAAGGAAGGAAGGAAAAAAAAGCACTGTCCAGCTATTTTTTTTGTTAAGAGAAGGGAAAAAAAATGGTTTCCACAACAGCAATTCCTTGAAGGCCACCCAGATGCTGAGCAGCACAGCAGCTGTGCATGTGATCAGGTGGCCAGTTGCTGTCTTTAGGAGACTGTAGGCTGCACTTTGCCTGGCCTTTTCTCCTCAGCATTGCTTGAAAGCCCATGAGTGCATCCAGCTGTTGGGAACTGGGAATGATGGGGCAGGGATACACCTTGTGCCAACCAAATGCAAATGGTGTGCCTGCTTCCTGAAATGTGGGACTGTTGATGGACTGCAGCTCCTAGGGATTCTCCTTTGGGAATAGCCTCTTATCTCCAGTGCTATGCTCAGCAAATGTTCAGAGACAAACAGCAAAGGCAGGTTTCCTGGTGCTGCACCACTCATTTGCTAAATTGATAGTCCACTCATAGACAGTGAAGGGTGACTTTAACATAAATCTGTGGCAAAACATGCAAAAGGTAGTCATACAGGTGTCTTGGGAAAGAGTGGTAATCATCCATAATTTTAATTTGTTGAAAGAAAAATATTTTTTTGAGGAGATCCGCTAATTCTCTTATTCTTCTTCTGTAGATCACCAGATTAAAAATTGACAGAAACCCTTTCGCTAAAGGCTTCAGAGATTCTGGGAGGAACAGGTAAGGGGAGATTTTTTGTGCATCCAAACTGATCTCTCTCCTTGATGAGTGCACAGGGCATGTATCTAAGAACCAAAGGTGGCATTTTCCAACACTACCTCAGTTTTACAAGAGCAGTTTGCCTTAGACTGATTCTTGTAGGATCCAGAAAACCGTTTACTTTGCCTAAACAGACACAGTAATGATGGTTTCCTTTGAAAATACTTTCCAGGCCAGCCAGATGGACTGACTTGTTTCTTTTCAGAAGCTTCCTCTAGTGCTGCTCTTCTTTCTGCACAAAAGTAGAGGGAAACTTTGGTCTTGCAGTCCCCAAACCCAAGCCCAGGAGAGGGTTTTGGATACTATTAGACCTGTCAAGACAGCATCAATTTCCTCCTTTACATTTTCTTTTTCTGTGACTGTGTATTTTCGCTGTTGGATCTTTAATTAAATATTCACTTTCATGCCTGTATCTTTTACATAATCACTATTCTTCAGGGTATTTTCTGAGTCTGGTTATAAGATAGATTAATCTTTTAATTTTCACAGGAAATTCCAAAATTTGGAGCACAAATGCTTGCTTTGTATCAGAAGACAAGAGTGACTTTTTGATAGGGTTTCAGGATAACAGGGCATCAATGTTCTAGTTTTGAAACATTTCAATTTTTCTCTGATGATGTCAAACTTTTTCACTTTATGCTACTAAATTTTGTCTGGATTTTTATGAAAAGATTAAACACTGCTTAGAATACTTTGTATTTTAACAGATCAGTGTAAAAACAGAAACTTTAATTGAAATACCTTTTGTATTAGGAGAACACAATATGGTGCCATGCACAATTCCAACAGTATGTAATAAACCTAAATATTTCAGTTTTATAAATGATGTGGGCATCCTTTAAATCAGCATGACAAAGGCTTTTAACAGTAAATTAATGATGAAATTGAACATATATGACTATATTACAAGAGCACTAGGGTTGTAAAGCAAGGCTCTGAGTGTGCACACCAGAGCACAAGTTGCATTCACCGCCTACATTTGCTGCCCCCATGGGCATCATGATTCAGTCTTTACTTGCATGATCCTCTTGAGTGCTTTCACCAGGACTACTATTTCATTCATGGTTTGCCTTGGAAGCCTTCAATGAGTGAGCAACTCCCCGTGTTTTCAATCACCCATTTAAATACACCTTCACAGAGGAGATATCCTACTCACCCAGAGAACTTTCTAGGTTCCATCTCAAAGCTGCTTTGTGAAAAGACGTTCCAACCCTTATTTAATCCCCCATCAAGAGTATTAATTCTGATATTTAGGGTACACATGCCTTTTACTCTTGCCTCCTTCCCTGCGTGGGGGAAATAGCATATGCCCCTGTACAAGGTCTTCCCTGTGTGCAGCTGCAGCTGCACTGGAGGCTGGGCTCAGAAGAGGGATTGATGCAGTTCCAGGTCCATGGTGGGCTAGATGAACATGGAAGGCATTAATAAGGTCCAAGCCCAGTGAATTTGGACAGTTTCCTGAAAAGGTTGGGAATTACTGATCTTTGTAGCTCATTGATTTAAGAAAGGGCAGGAAATTGCTACATGGCTGCAGCTGTGGGGAAGGCTCAGTAAGGCTCTCTGCTGATGTAAAGAGGAATTAAAATCTTTAAGGTATTACACATCAAAGAAAGGAGCCTGAGGCTTTAGGAAGAAAAAACAGGCGAAGGTATTTGCAAGCATATATAAGCAGCCAGGCGCCTGCCTCACAAGCAGTGGTCTGGCGAAGGTTGTACTGCTGCTGTCAGCTAGTGGAGGATACTGGGATGCTCAAATGCTACCTTTCAGGGGCACACATACATAGGTGTACATGTAGGAGGGACAAAATCAGTAAGAACCAAGCTGCGTGTGGAAAGGATTGATGAAATGGGATTTTTCTTAACTGTGCTGAATGCCTCCTCTTCCCCTAATTAATTTAAATCCTATCACTTGCCAATTAGTTTAACAATCATGATACTCTGCATCTTCCTGCATCCTCACATCTCTAGTCAGCTACAGTGCACCAGGCTGTAGCTGGAGAATGTCCCTCTGAAAATGTGGGGTAATTGAAGAAAGGCACAATTTGTGAAGCTGGAGTGTATCTGTCCAAAGGGGTTTCTGTATTTTTCTTAAGAACCCAACAATCTGGTAGCAGGAGAGGCCACAGAATACCTGGGACTGCTCCAGGGCAACCCAGCCACATCAGGGTGCTGAACCACAGCCATAGGTAGAGTTTGCCAGCAAATGATAAAGAAAATCCAAGCACGGGGAAAAACAGAGCAAAGTGAAATCTTAGGTCACTTCTTCTGTAAGGCACTGACTTTCTTCTTTGTGTTGAGGCTTTTCCACAAAACAAAGAGGGGTGATTTTCCCTCCCTTCTTATTCAATCATATCTTATTGCTTGCTGTTCTTGCTTGCTGCATAAATTACAGTGTAGTAGGGTCAGTTATTTTTTCAAATTAAATTCCATTTTAAATCTTTCACTTGGATCAGCTTGCAGCTTTCCTGTATGTTTCCTTAAGAGTGAGGTCTGTCTTCATTAGTACAAGAGTGCATTAAAAACCTGCTGCTCTGGGGGACCCCTATCACAACATAGCTACCTTTATCCGTCTGAGGGAGTGATCTTGTTGTGCATCTCCTCTTAGATACCCCTCAGCTGTTCGCATGGTTGCCTTGTTTTGCAGTGCTTGGGCTGGGAGAGGGAGCAGTGAAGTATTTCAGAGGGAAGGATGGAAATAGCTCAGCAGCTGAACTTTTTTGAAGACTTCGAACACTGAAACAATATTAACCAGTGCTGTTCAACAATCTAGCCATCAGCTTTGATAGGTTAGAGTGCTAGCTTGAGTCAGGAAGACTAGTCTTAGTTACCTCTTAATGAAACTTTTGTAAAAGTGAAACAAAAGAGCTGGGCTCGGTGGAAAAAGGACACCAATATAGAAGAGGTTCTTCTCTAATAGGGCAGTGTACTTAAGAGCCAGCTATTACTTGTTTGTTTTCCTGAACTTCAAGAGATTGAGAAATAGCATTTTTGACATACAGAGATCAGCTAGCCAAATGTTTAGTGGTGTAGGCTTAATACCACAGAGCTTATTTTTGGAGACTGAGTAGAGTTCATCTGATGGTGGGATGCTTAGGGGAGCTCCATATGCTGGAGAAAGCTAGAAGGAGAGACAGACTGGAAACCCAATGGGGCGATGGATGAAAAAAAAGCAAAGCTGAAGGCAAGCAACAACACTTTCTTTTCAGATATGGGCAGCTGAGGTGAATAAAAGCTGTTTGTGTTGGAAGTGCTTTTAGAGCTTTTTAGGATAGGAGAGTCAGGAGGATGCTTGGAGCCAGTGGTTTGGCCTCCCTTGTGAACAATGAAATGATGACCTGCATCCTGCATGCAGCAGGAATGGCAAGGTCAGCCATATGGGATGGATTATGGACATGCACAGATAGCTCGTACATCTTTTTTCATTTTTCAGACAATGGAACTGTTTCATTTATTGCCTATTATTAAAACTTTATAGCACTCAAAATAATTTAAAAAAAATGGATGAAAAAGAGAGAGCGAATTTTGGATACCTTTTAAAGGACAGACCTTATTAAAATAAAGCTGGCAGCAAGTCCTCTTCTTATACTTTCTTACTTCCTTCATAAAGTTGTTGTGAGAGGGGAGCGTTTATGGCCTGATAGGCAATTTAAAGTCAGTTTTTCAGAGCTTTTTTTTTTTTTTTTTTGGAAGAGAAAGTGGATGCCACATGGGTAATTTCAGCACATTTGGTACAAGCAGTACTCACCAAAGACCAAAAGAAACTGCTGAGAATTTCAGAAATTCCAAAAAGAGTTTTTTTTAAACATTCACTGCTGTTACAAAATGTCTCTCCATTGGCAAACTGTGGATTGCTTTTCCCTGTAGAGAATGATACACACAGGATTGCACTCCACTTCTGGCTAGCAGGGTGTTCTCTTCCTATCCTATGGTGGAGGTCTGTGAGGAGAGGGGTCCCCAGTGGCATCCCTCATTCCCTGGTATCCTCAGTTACAGAAAGAGTTGAGTCCAGTCCCTGAAAGGAGTAATTTATTTCTGATTTCTACTTTTATTTCTTCTTTTATTATCTCCTGACTATTCTCTCTCTCTCCTTTCTTTTTTTTCTTTAGAAATACAAATATTAAAGTACATGAGTGAGCTGTAGACTGAAAACTCTAATTGCTAGGAAGCTTAAACTTTGTGTCAGTCTAAGTTGTAAATGATGCAGTGGCAACAGCTTAATGCTTCCTTTGACCAAAGCCCATTAGGGGCTGGATTTAACTGGCTTGGAGTAGAATTATTTAGGCTGGAAAAGACCTTCACAAGCAGCAGGACATTTTATGCTTCCAGGATAAACGGTCCCAGAAAGTCCTCCCTCAGCATTTAGGCTGGGGATCATTTCATGAGACTGCAGAGAGGCATCAGTCTCCTCCTGGCTGTGCTGAGAAGCAGCTGGAGTCTGCACGTGTGTGGCAGAGGAAATCCTGGGAGTGTTCCGGCAGCCTGAGTTGCTTTTTGCACACAGAGCCTGGCTTGGCAGATGGGCTCACACTCAGCACTGCCTCGTTGTCTCCAAGCTCCATGAGCTGGCAGAGGCTGCTGTATTAACCAGATAGTTTTGTTGTAATGTGCTCAGTGCTAGTGTGAGATTGCTATGCAGAGATGTCTTCTGTTTCTACTGCTAACAGCTTAGCAGCTAATAAACACCATGCAACAACCTCTCTTCTAAACCTCCTCTTAAAATACAGAGTTTGGTTTGCCAACTCCAATGTATTTAAAGCATCTGAGCTTCCGGGGAGACTTTGGAAAGTTAACTGAGCAAGAGGAGGCACATGCAGAAAGACATTTTCAGAAGCAAAAGGCAGCTCCAGTATCAGCTCAACCTCTGATGAGAGGCTCTGGGGATGTTAGAGCCTTTTGCATTGAAAGGGGATATGGTGTCACATTTGACAAAGCATCTCTAGTTGTGTTAAGCCAGTGCAAGGGATATAACCTCCTGCTGGAAAGTAGGCAAGGAGAGGCCTTGGGAGCAGAGCAAGGTTCAGTGTCCACAGAGGGGAATTTTTCCTAGGAAGAAACCTCAGGATACTGTCTCATAAAGAGCCGAGAGGGTCCTCAGTTGGTAATGCATCTATGTTCTCGATGAGCCTGTGGAGTTACAGACTTCCAGCAATGCTAACAGTTTGCAGTAGAAAAAAACCCCACAAACTGAAGACTCCAGCCCTTTAAGAGGAAAAGCTGTTCTCACTTGATTTTTGGCTTTTTCTCTTTGGTACTGTCACTGTAGTGAGTTATGGACCCAAAGCAGAGAAGCCACTGACCTTTTTATAAAAAGCCTCTTACTGCATTTCTGGTCAAAATACAAAACCAACAAGATTCTCCTTTGGATGTCTTCCAAAAGCCCTTCAGAACAGTGTCCAGAAATGGGAAGTGACAGGGAAGGTTCATTCATAAAAACCCTCTCAGATTCTGTAGGATTAATCTCTGATCTCCCATGTTTGTATATATGACAGCTTGCTTCCATAAAGTGTTTAAGCCACTTCCATAAGTGTTTAAGTGTGCTTTGAGGGCCTGTCATTTGTCCCCTGTGAAGCAAAATGGAAGTTAAGGATCCTTGTTAAAAAACAAAAAGGTACTGGAAGACCATTAGGATTTATGGAAGTTCTTGAAATGGGGAAATTATTTTACTGAAGCAGCCAGCACCTGCACAGAAAGGCTTGCAGGAAGAATTCACAGTTGTCAAGGTGGCCTTTTGGTGGCCACTGGCAGACCCAGAGCCCTTTTTTCCTATGCCAGTAACCTTACTGGCTGATTGATGTTCTTCTTGCTTTATTCCATCCTGCAGGACGGGGCTGGAGGCCATCATGGAGACCTACGCCTTCTGGAGGCCTCCTGTGCGCACCCTCACCTTTGAGGATTTCACCACCATGCAGAAGCAGCAAGGTGAGTGTACAAAGGATGTGCAAAGCAGAAGAGGATACAAGAGCTACGACATGCTCTGTTTTTCGCACCTTGCTGAACTCTTGATGGCTATGAAAGGACACAGGGAGGGTGTATGGCAGCTAGGAGACATTGGGTCGGCTGTACATTATGAGGTGCAATGCAGCTGTCTCACCTCCTTGGTGTCCTCAGAGCTCAAACATGGAGTAGGAAGGAGTGCAGCATTGGATAAACTAGTCCACATGCATAACGTGGCTTCAGTTAAAAACAAAGACAGACAGAGGCAACGACCCACCATATCAAATGCATTGATCATCATTTATAGTTAGAGTTTGCCATTTGTGCGGAAACACAAGGGGAAGGAGTCTGTGTCCTGTGGGAGCTTCAGGAGGCCAGAAATATTCACCCCTCCCCCAGGATCACGCTGCCTCACTTGCAAAACCCAGGAGCCTTTATGGAGAGACTTTCTGTTAATATGAGGATGGGAAGAGTTATTGGGTAGCCCAAGTGTTTTGCAGTTGTTCATGCCGTGTCTTTTCATAGCTTCTACCCTTTATATCCTTCATTTGTTAAACAGGGCTTTCATCTCCAGTTTCAGGCTGTAACATCGTTTTTATTTTGTGCTGATAGGATTCACCCAATGACTTTTTTGTAGTTTTTTTCTAGTTAAAAACACAGTCATCACTGGGAACAGAGGTATCACTGCAACCTATTACTTTTTCTCCTTGATATAAACACAACAAAAGAAACAAAGTAAAAGTATCTTTAGATGTGACACCTGCGAGGTTAAAGAGTCAGAAATAAATGGGTGCCAGGTGTAGCAGAGCACATTCTCTGGCCTCTCTAGTTTGAGCTGGACTTCAAACCAAATCTTCCCTCCAGACCTTGGATCCACCTGGAGATGATGTGTTCTGCTCCAGAGAGAGGCTGGGGGCTGCCCGCTGGGGATCCAGCAGAGTATGGGGGGCAGGAGATGTTCTGCAGAAGCTCAGAGGTGTGCACTAAGGAGCATTTGTGATGGGGTGTGTGGTCAGAGATGGGTTAAAGCGGGGATTCAGAGTGGTTTTCATCACCCACCTAAATAGAAACACAACAACCTCTCCTCCTGGTCATCCTTGCTGGAGCAGCCTCTCTCCTCTGGCAGCCGGCTGGCCCAGCTCACCTCCTGTCCGGGCTCACATGGCTCCCTCCCCTCCCAGTGGTTATCAGATAACATCCTAGTGGCAAGTCCAGCTCTCGCTTACGTGGTAAGGTAATATTAGGAAAGGAAAATATTTAATGTATTTTTAGCTTGTTTTAATATAGTTTGGCAGCTGAAAAGCCAGGAAGCGAGCCAGTACCCTGTGACCAGCCAGCTCTGTGCAGACCACCACCACTGCACTACGGTTCAGTGAGAGCAGGGCAGCCCTAAATAAAGCTGTGTCCACAGGTTGGTCTCAGAACTTTATAATTCACTAGAAAACAGTGAGTGCTCTTAAGCTCTTTATTTAGTCAAATGAAACAGCCCCAAGTTGGTGCATCTGAAATACTCCCTGCACTGTAGTGCTCCTCTTTCCAGTGATTCCTTTGACATGCTGAACCCTGTCCTCAGCTGTAGGTGCAAAGCTAAGGTACAAACACACTCTATTTTAATTCCTGGCTATGAGAAGAAAATCAGCTGCTGACATCCAGCACCATCAAGGACTGCTCCAGGGCTGGCTGTAGAAAACTGCCTTGGGGTTACAGGAGACTTTGGGAATGTGTGTATTGTCCTTCCCCCCTTCTCTCTGCTGTGGCTTTACATGACGCCTAGATGTGTCCATTGCAGCTTGAGAAGTGCAGCGCACATCTACTGCACTGAGTTGAAATGAAGGCAGTAAAAATGGCCTTGTGCCTAGGAAGAGATACCATAAATGAGGAGCAAGTTGTAGTTGTTCAGGCTGGAAGGGAGAGAGGGAGGACACAATGGCACTGAAATAAAATGCTGTCTGTGCTGGATAGAAGAAGTAACAGGCTCCAGTTGCATGAAGTCTAGCAGAGTGCAGGAATAGATTCCCTGCAGAGACTGTGGAATTCAGCCCTGATTTTCTACGGATGAGTACCCCTTTCTGTGGTAGGAAAAATGATGCTTTCTGAGACAGAAGCTTGGGACTTTAGCAGTGTAAATATGGTGTATTTTCTGTTTTTTATCTGGATTTTTACATGTTGAGGATTATTATGGATTCTTATCTTTTGTCCTTTGGTATGCTTTTTTATGAAATAAATGTTTTATCTGCCTTTTCCAAAACAGATTTGTCAGACAAATCTAACCAAATTTCCTGATTGGGGTGGAACTTTGACTGCTAGAAATAACTGGATAGCTGTGAAAGATTTTTAGAGCATTTAGCTTAATGCCAGCTTGAAAAAGTTTGTACATATGAAGGAATGAGTAGCAGGTCAATCTCAAAGCTGATGATTAAATAGGAATCCTGATGACAAATGTGAAAACACCACCCTGAGAGGACAGTCTCAGTGTTTTTCTGTGGAGACTATTTTGTGGACTAACCAGTCTGGAAACAAGTAAAACTACACATTTGCTAAAAGATAAAAATCTCATAAAGACTTCAATGCCAACAGTGCTGATGAGGATGAAAGTATGAAGGGTAGGGATTGCTTGGTAGCCCGCATGCATTCAAACAGATTGTGGGTCTAGGTACAGCCAGATACAATATCAAGTGCCTAGGAACAAAATGTAGGGTGTACATAACTATAGAGTGAGCTGGAAAGCATTGGCACTGACAAAGATTTGGAGGTCATGGTGGATGAGCAGTGATAAACAGGGTCACATTATCCTTGTTGTAGAAAAAAGAAAATATTGGGAAGCAGTTGGGAGGAAATTTCCTGGCTGCAAACACTATAATACTGTCTTCTACAGTACATATTTTTGAGGGTAGAAAGAAATTAATTAAGAGGAAAAAAATTAGAATGATTTATTGGCTGAAGCAGATCACTGAGAATGGAAGCTCAGTTTGCATAGTCAATCAAAAAGAACATAAAAAACTGAAATGCTTATGGCCAATGCTATCTTGCAGAGAAAAGAATATGTGGTAACTTCCTGGCACTCACTAGAATCTTGTAACTGTGGTTTCCATGTTTTCATGGCAAAACTGTGTGAAACACTTCTTTCAGGTGGCTCTGGCTTTTCAATTCTAGCTGAATGTTTCATTCCTTTTTGGGGAGGTAATGAGATAAGCAGGACACAAGTTCTCTCCCATCTATCTTCTTCACACAATTAATTGTTTTAGATTTTTATGTCCCTTATCTGTGCTTCTCACCATGAGCAGAGACAGTCATTTTATTTCTCTTCTATTGGAAGGTTTTCTGTATCCTTAATCATTTCTTTAAAAACATGTTCGCACAGAGTATTCCAGATACAGCTACATGATACAATTATCTAAAGGTATTATAATTTTTTCCACATCAGCTTTTCTCTTGTTTAACATGCATCTGAGAGTTTTGCTCATTCATTTGGCCCTAGCTATATGTTGAGCAAGGGCCACGATGACACAGAGAATCAATACCCAGAGCATTGGATGCAGCTGTTTCATACAGGGATTAAATAACTTTCTGATTTACACAATGATAGGTTTCAGCTGCCACACAAGCTGGAGAGCCTGATAACACAACCACTCACACAGATGTCTGGTGACTGGTACTAGCAGCACACAAACTTTACTTCCATGTCTTTCCAGTGTAGTAAAATACATCAGTAAGTCTCCATAGCTCTGTTATCACTGTGTCATCCTACCAAAGAGAAGAAAATGCCATTCCTGTTAGTGAACCTTCCTGGCCTGAGCACATAATCTCTTTTGGACCACATAATACAAAAGTCATCACAGCTTTACTACGGCAAGTACTGTTTTTGACAGTATCACAGCAGAACTCAAGGCAGTAGTTAAAAAAGTTCCCCCCAAAAGAACCTTACAGATGCTCAGAAAACAGCAGTTCAGGAAAGGCTGACCTTCTGGAGAATGATGTCAACCACTCTGTAGTCTACTTATTAGTAGGGAAAAAGGGAGCTTGGGATTATTGAATGCACATGGCAATGAGATGTGGGGAAAGCCAAGAATCTATTAAAGACTTTAATTGGAATATATTTTCAAAATTTAGCTTGAACTTTATCCAGATTCTCATTATTAAAAGTATGTGGCTCAGTTTCTCGATTTTAACAGGGTACATTAAGAAAAAAGAAGAGGAGGGGGATAAGAAAATAGGAGTTCCAGTAACTCTGGATTGTGTCACTTTCCAAGAGTAAAAAGAGCCAGTGCTGGCTCCCATACGATATATAGTTTCCCACAAGATGCTGAGATGAGCAGATTGCTATCAATGACTGTAATTTTTGCCAGGACACAGGGACTGGAAAGACACTGCGACAGTACTACAACTACTTCCAGTTCAGCATTGGAACCTCTCTATAAGAGCTGATGACTTAGGCAAAAAGTTAAATCAAATGTATCTTGGCAACTGGTGAAAAGAATAACCTCCCAAGCAGGAGTCCAGGTCAAGTAAGAGAGTCACATGATGTGATTTATCAATAAGATTACAGTACATAAAATGTGACTTGTCCGTTAAATCACTGTTTTGATACATGTACACCAAACCCCCAAGTGTCAAGCTCCAAGTGCTGAAGTCTAAAGGCTTTCTTTTTAAATTGTGTTTTCTCAGTTGAGGGTATTTTGCTGAGTTTCCTCACCACTTCCTTTCAGAAAATTCAACCTGTTCTTTATCAGATTGAATATTTCTGTTGATCTTGCCCTGGGAATCTCAAGTATAGAATCATAGAATCATTAAACGGAAAGACCACTAAGATCATCTAATCCAACCATCCACCTATCACCACCGTGCTATCACCACTACATCCAGGCATTTTGTTAAGGCTTTGAGGAAGGAAACGCTATACTATGGCAAAGTCTGACAGAAAAATGCAGAGCTTGCACAGCAGAAATGTATGATGCTTACGTCAGTTTTGTACGTCGACACTTATT